CCCTCGTCGATAAACAGCGCCCCCATGGAGAAGCTCGCGCTGTTTCGTTATCGCCAAGGAAACCTGGGCGGTAACTATAACGATACGGGTGCAATAGGAAAAAACATTGTTATTTCAGGAAAAGGTGACTCCGAAAAGACACTCACTGCAGATGGGATAGTAGAAACTGACAGTAAGAGATGGATGATCAAAGAACTGATGGGAAGTTGAATAAGATAAGTTTAGAGTTAACGAAAGAGGATAACGGTCCATGTGGGGGAGGCTTGACAGAGGGATTCAACCTAGTAGTCCTGAAGATTATAACGAGATAGAAGACGATTTGCATTCAATTTCAGCATTCTTTATTTGTTTTCAAATAAATTGGATTGAAGGAAAAAAAGGACAAATAAAAATTGAACCTGCTACCGCGTGGCGATCATTTGGAACCAGGGCACGTCCTGCCGTTGGAAGGAGTTTTTACAAGCACGACTCCTCTCTTGCCCACCCTACCCATTATCTTACTGAATTTTCTCCCAACTTCCCAGCACTTTAGAGTTTCCCCCAAAAACTGCCGTCGGAGGGAGGGGGGTTCTTGGAGTGGAATATATTGCGCGTGTGAAACAGTGAAACGGGTTCAACTGGAGAAAACAACCGGGAGCATCTTCTTCAAAGGCAACTACGACGACGGAGCATCTTCTTCAAAGGCAACTACGACGACCTCCCTCCAGCTAGCAAATACAACTGTTCTCCCGCTGGGATACCCAACGCCAATGTACGGCACATCATTGGTGGGGATTCCCCAAGAGATAGTCGTATTTGGTCGCTGGGGGACGGGGGTCGTATTTGATCTGAGAGATTTTTTTGTGGCCGGTTTCTTGTTTCATAGACTCTATAAGGGGAAGGCGGTCCTATTTGCCTTCTATGATGGTTTTTGGGTATGTCCCCGGTAGTTAACATTTCGCGTTTTTCCCGTTTCACAATCCCCCCTCTTCGACAGCTCGATCGTATCAGAGGATGGAACTAGGGATGGGGGTCCACGGAGTCGACTAAAATCTCTTACCAGTGATAACCCTGGTACGATGTGCCTTGTCCAGAACCATGGAGAACAGGAGAATCGGAGAAAGGAAATAGTGAATAGAGCGCTCAAATAAGCTAGGGTTACCAAAGTAGCCTTAGCATCTAGGCACCTTTCTCGGAGGGTGAAACCCCTCTTTGCATATAGGAAATGATTTACCCACACCAGAGCTCCTTCCCTTCTTGGGCTCTGGCAAAGGTCCTCATCTGTAGTGCTAAATCCAGTTCAACGTAAAAATCGAAGAAATGGTGTGAAAAATGGAAGAAGTGAGTGCCATGAAATGTGATTTCATCGCATTCATTCAAGTCAGTATGACCCCTGCCCCCAAAAATGTCCTCCTTTGGTACGACACTCTCCCTTACTTAACATCCTACCCAACTTCCTAAATTCTCTCATGTACTACTTTTGGCAGTTTTCAAAGTACCAAAATTTTTGCGCCTCAAAACCCTGCCGTTGAGCTTGGGGGAGGGAGAAGGAGGTAGTCACCAGTCAACTCCTTGGAGCAACTATCAGAAACTGTGAGACATTCGTTTATATAGCAGTGTCGCGGCGCGCCTCCAACTAGTACGTTCGCCGTACGACACCGCGGGCCCATACCAGCTAGATGCGACCTCCCCCGTGACACTGCCCACGATGTGCGCTTCATATCTGGGACATGGAAGGGCATGGCTGCGTAATTCACCTGAAAGTGGCGTTAACCCTTTTTTGAGAGATATTCTGTTTCGAGACAACTGCCACTACACCTTGTCTCGAGCAAAGGCACGATCACTATTGTCCCGAAACGAAAATATTGCACCAAATGCGACTCCTCCCCAGTGAGCGCCTGGTGGGATTCTCTAAAGCGATGAGTTACTGTACCCTGTGCGGACCATATTGGATTGGGGTCAAAGGCAAAAGGCGAAGAAGAAGCCAGCAAAGCAAGTCAGAAGAACCAGTTAGTTACAAGGGCCGAACGTCTGCGCTCTTATGTAGTGGCTCAGAGGAGCCGAGCGAAAACATAAAACATTACAGCCATTACAGCAGAAATATCACATGGAGATTCCCGGATGATAAAAATGGAGTGTCATCGGAAAGGAATGTGAATTCCTCCACACATCCGTCTGCAGTGCTTTTTCGTATTCTTCGGGCCTTGGTCTATGGAACGATTGCTTCTTCGCCGCATTTCGGTCCGTGCCTTTTGCTATACATCACTGAATTTTGGACCTTACTAATTTTGAAGAGAGTATTTGAAGGGCTATGTGGTACCCAATAAACTTGATGAGATAGGCCTCCTGCTTATTAGATCTAAAATGGGAATGCAGTCCGGAGTGGGTGAACCAATCCAAGAACCGTAATTCTATTCGGATGACGATGGTCTCAGTTTGCAGGGCTCTTCAAGAACCCATCTAAAGGTATTAGCGCCAACATTGTTCTCAAAGCCAGGCGAATAACGGCTCATTCCACGTTTGGCCGGAAACACTGGGACCTTTGAGCATTCTTTGCTGACGTGCAACTCCTGTGGCATTTCAGAATGTGCCTCAATGAGAAAAGCGCCATGTTTATGACTTCTTCACGAGATGTGAGTGTTAAATCGTCAAGGATGCGCCGTGCATTCGATATGCAATGGATGAGCAAGTCGTGCTCGTAGCTGGCCTGAGCATTGAATAGCAGCGTCTGTCGGCGCTGTTTGTCGACGGGGGGCATTCTATACTGTAATTGCTTCCTCGGTTCCAGTTTACATGTCTCACTCCGAACAAGGTATCAGGCCATCATTGTTAAAACAGTCAACTCAAGAGAGGCCTGCCGCTAGATAGGCCGACACGTCGATGGGAAGTAGCAAAAGTGCAAAGATGCCCCACGTCGACAAACTGCGCCGCGTCTGCCTTCTTTTTTCCCCGTTAACTTCTATTTCTTCTTCGGAATTTTCGACGGCCTGGGAGAGGTGACGGCCAGTTCCTCGAAACTGGGCACAAAAGTGACATGAGCTTCTGAAGAGGGGGGGGGGACAAGGTCGCGGAACTCCAGGTTTGCTATTAATTTATCAATGGTCCTCAAGCAATTTCAAACGCCTTTTTTAACCCGCTTTATGACACCATTGGAGAAGATTAGTGCCACCTACGAATTTTCATGCTTTGAGCATAACTTCCTTCATAACTTGTTGAAGCTACAACAACGCCAGGATCTAGAGAATTCCCACTTTTCAAAAAGCACTTCGATTTTTTCTCGTTACCACTATTTGAAAAAAGTCTTTCTTTGACTCTTCTAGAACTCTATTTTCGTCAAAGTTATCGAGGCGCCGGTTGACACCTCCTCTGTATTGCGCCGTACATCCAACTCCCATGCAGGGATGTTGGAAAAATCCCAGGTGAGGCTTCCCTTGTGTTTCTGCGCTTGAGAAAAGGTCCGAGCCCATAGTGTGTACTGTGGTTTGTTTACTAATTCAAGGACGTTGTTGTAGGCGGCCATCGTACTTCTTGTCACCACCCGTTCCCCACTTGTGAGCTTTCAGCTTGCCTCTACCTTCAGATGGCCTTTCAGGCGCTCTTCAAAACCTCTAATAAATTTCATATAAATTAGTGACTGTACAACATCTCAGTATTGCTGCACTTTCCACTTCCGAATAAGCTCTACACTTACGACCACCACCCCCTCCCCTCTCGCGATCAAATACAACCCCCTTGTGGTTTCCTTAACGATGGTGTGTCCTGGCTGTTGCACCTTATTCTCTACCAAGTGCCGTCGGCTTCACTGAAAGATCGACAACTGCGCCTTTGACCCTAAAAAATACTCTTACTATGATTACTCGCAACTTTTCGTTGTATGATGCTTAGAGAATCTTGCCAGCGCACATCTTGACAATTATAAAAATAAATTTATTACTACGAGGGTTTTATAGACGTGCATCAATCTGATTCAGTGGAATGTCTACTGGCGTTGAGCCCTGAGAGCCACTGGTGGTCTGGTGTGATACGGGCGAGTCTGGAAGGTGGGGATGCTGGTGCAGGCGCCAATGTCGAAGCAGGTCTGTCCATCACGATCTCCGGCTTGGATGTCCTGAATAAGGCGAGAATAAAATAAGAAGAATGATATTCACGATTAGTAACTGTCTGCGGAGGGGATTACAAGCCTCAACTGGAAGTTCAAAGACAGTTTCTTGTAGGAATGCATAATGCACCATTCTACTCTCGCTGGACAATTTCAGCACCGCTGCTGTCTCCTCCCTGCTGACTACGGTAGAGAAAAGGTCAGGAAAAGGTGATAGAGAATCTCGTGACAAGGAAATCGTAATGCGCCGAGCTGATGGGTGTGGGGAGCGAGTCCGCGCTCACGAGGACAAGTTTTCTTGCTTAGTTGCTCGAATTTTTATGTCAAAGAGACGGAAAAAGAGACATCAATGGGTGTGGAATTTTACCTTCGCCTGAATTCATCTGAGTTCCCAAGCAGCAAGCTGAACTATATCGGAATTTGCCGCGCTGTCGCCGTCCGCGATTGCGGCCCAAACGACTACGGCATAATAGCAAATTTAGATTGTGCTTGTCTGTTCCCCGGAATATTCGTGTTCCACGGGATCACAGCATTTTCTTGTATCCTTATCGGGTTCTTTGGTTGCTGTGCGTGGAGGAAATGCCCGTTGCAGCGCAAACTAACTTGCATTTTCTGCTGGCTGACTCGACATTTTGCTTATCTCCTGCATTAAATCAATTGGATCCTGGTGCAAATGTCGCGCATTCGCGCGGCGCTGCTTGGAGAGCTCTTCTGTTCGGTAGCCCAGCATGGATCTCCCAACCGAGTCCTTGTAGAGAGTATAAAACTGATATCTGATAGGGATCTCATCAGAACTCACTGAGAAGATCTTGTCGATGTTCTTGTTTACCATGTCGATGCAAGTTTGCTCGCCAGATGCTTCTTGTGGTGGTAAGTGTTTGCATTCATTGAGCAGCTGTAAAACTCACTACTATTGAAATCCGCGTAATGTATTGTATAGGTATTGACTGCTACCATATTCATGAGTTCACAGCGAAAAAATCCTTCAAAAAAGCTATGAGGTAAAAGTTATAGCCCGTATTTATCAAAAGAAGCCATAGTTGGAGCCATATCAGGAAGTGTAGCGCGGTTTATTACCTCTGGCTGAAATGTGATAAGGCTCCGATCAGCCAGTTCACGCGATTTTGCGGAATGATGACGTCATTGTACAGTAGAAACCTGCAGACTCTTGTCAGATGTGAACGATGCTCTGCTCCCTTCATAGCTTTACATGAGTTCACAGGTTTTACAGGAGGCATTGGCACCAACCGGGAACCAACAAAATGCCCTCACCAAGACCAATCCGCCTTCTGTTTTGCTGTTTCGCCTAGGAACTTTCGTGTAATAGCACCGAAAAAATC